CTCATACCAATTAGAAAGCTTATTAAACCACTTGAATTGCCCGGCGGTTTTAATCCTGTTGCATTGACTAGTTTCCCTTGTAAGCCAATGGAAAAGATGATTTTATGCAGACTGACATTTTATTTGGATTTTAACAATTTATTGCCAAGAGAACAATATAGTTTTAGGAGAGGAAGCTCTGCTATCGATCAAATCCTATATTTTGGATAAAGTGTTAGACTCGCATAACTTGAAGCCTGCTAACCATATGACAGTATTGTGTTTAGACCTGACAAGCTTTTGATAGAGTCTGGATTAATCAGCTGATTGTAAAGCTGTTTGATACTTTCAAATTTGATGGAAAGGCACTTGTCTGGGCTGAAGATTTTCTGAGGAACAGATCTTTTTTGTCAACTTTTAATGAATCATATTCTAGAGACAACAGACTAAGTCTGCCTCAGGGTGCTTTGATGAGTCCCCTATTATTCTCATCGTATTCGGCAGGGATTGAGACAATTATAACCCACAGATGTGAAACTGGACTATTTGCTGATGATCTAATTTTATGGAACTCTGAACCAGATATTGGAGTGATTGAAAATTATATCAATTCCACCCTTTCTGAAGTGGAGGTTTTTTCCACTTGCCATAAAATACAATTTACATCTTTACATCTTTTATGAGCTTTTACACACTAAACGAAAATTATATAATTATCATCCATATATTGTTATGCTGGATCAGTTTTTATTTTCATATATTAAACATCCTAAATATTTGGGCTATATGCTTGATTTGGAGTTGTTGCATAATAAATGCATTGAAAAATCTGGTTTCAAAGGGCAGGAAAAGACTGAGCATCGTTAACCTGGCGGAAGTCGCACCAAGAAAAGTTACTAGAGTGGGTGCGTGGGGTATCACATACCCCAATATTTAAAATACGATAAAAATAGCTTTATTTAGTTTTAAAGCTGTTTTTCTTGTTCTCGTGTATTATAAATATGTGAATAATAATTGGGTTTCAAAAACTTAATTTCCAAAATAATCTTAGAGTTAAGATTAATAAAAAAATAAACATCATGCCTCTAAGTTTCATTGCATCTTTCATTGCATACACAATGCTTATTTTATTTCTTCACACTTTGAACAAAATACATTCATGTGTTCTTGGCACAAAATGTTTTCACATTTTAAACATTGCATTCACGTACTTCTGTCCTTGGCGCGAGGGCAATTTATCACATCTTTCATACTTAGTTATTTCAAATTTCATGTATTCGTTTTAATTCTTCGTCAAAAGTTTTGCTTTTGTTTTGCATGCAGTACGTCATAATATAAATCAGAATATTAATCTGATTCTTTGTGCAATACTTTTTTTTCATTAATTGTAATGCTAAGTCCTTCAAAAACAGACTTCTGTTTCTGGTTGGTGGATTAGCGGTTGAATGTAATATAATTCAAGCATTTATTACAGGAACCTTCAGTGCAGGAAAGAAAATTACCATTGGCCACCTCTTGGTTATTCTGGCAATTGAATAATTGGCTGACATTTCATCTTCCATATCCACTGCTCCTTTAGTCATATTATAAAAACATATAATTCCTGACGTTTTATTTTCTCCAATAGTATCATCTATAGTATGATCGTTATATAATGTTATATAATCGTTATATAAGCATAAGAACAGTTTTTTCTTTTTTTTAGGAACATTAGGAATTAATGTTTTATCTTATTGAACCAAAACAGTGTAGAAAATATTCCTAGTTTCATCTTCAGTTTCCGAAATGCAATCTTCATCGCTTTCAAATATTTGTAATAAATCGCACTGGCGAACATTCGATTTTTGAAGTTCAGATTTTCAGCATGAAGGTGCAGTTGCCCCTCGCTCCCTATTGTTAACTTCGCTTATTTTTCTTGTCCTTTGCGTTACATGTTTGATCAGATTAGCCTGGCTCAGTAAAAGTAGGCGGCCAGTGTAACTCTGATTAAAAATCCAGTTATAACCACGTGCATTGCTGATAAGGACCACGTGTTTCTGAGACTCCTTCCCCTTTATTTTTCTTCTTTCTTTCTAGGTATTTCTTTCTCCTGATGAGGGACCTTTAACTGCCCTCGAAATCAGTTGAGTGTTTCAATATACTTATGCTAAATACAAGGTTGTTTTTGTGATTTTGATTGTCACATTAGCGTGTTTCTCTCTAGTCTACACCTCAATTCTTCTTCATGATTGGATTTCTAACCAAAGATTGAAAAGAAACAGGCCTTTTTCTTTGGCTTATTTCGTGGGTTTCATAGGTAAAAGTATTGAGAGATACTCGCTGAAACTTACTATTAACCCACTGAAAGGACTTCCTGATATCTGTTTGCACATAGACCGAACCTCTTATGCCAGTAACAACAACAACAAACAAAAAAAAAAACAAAAAAACAAAAAAAAAAAAAAAGATTTACTTGATTATCTTCAGCAGATTTCTCTCAAAACTTTAAATGGCATTCCCTCTAATGCTTTTCAGATTTTCACTGATGGCAGTAAAAAGGAATATGGGAATTGTGATCATGGAGTTTTCATTAGAACACCTATTAATAGCTTTAATTTTAAGACTAGAAATCCTGATCACTGTTCTGTTTTTCATCTGAGCTCGTAGCAGTTGAGGAAAGCATAAGCTTGCACTGCCTACAAAGATATCTGGATTTTGACTGACACTCAGTCCTATCCAACATCTGCAAAATTGACTTCGTATTGGTGATAAGACTTCACTCTTTATTTTGGCTTTACTTTAAAAACTCTTCCTGTCAAGATGTATTTGGTAATGCAATGGCTGATGCCCTGGCTAAGGAAGGAACTTCAATGACTCTGACCACTTCCACCTTGAGCTTTTTGGAGATCTACTTGTGAGTTAAATCTGTTGCTACTTCTTGGCATTCTCTTCCGGCTCATGATTGGTACTTTGGCAGGCAGCCGGGAGGTGCTATTGGTTTTAGGGATAATCGTATTCAGCAGACTACTGAGTCCCCATATTCCACTTCAAAGATCACTGCCTAGAACATGAGGTCTCTATCCCGAGCCTGAGTTTCACCTTTCAAGTGACTTAATTCCAGTTGTCCAAACATAAAATTTTTAAGGGGAGTTTGACTGAAAACTGACTTTCCTTCCTCGTGTGCAGTATCAGAAGTGTTTAAAATATGAAATATGTTTAAAGTATTGACATACACCTTCTGAGGTGCAGAAGGTGGCAGGATTCTCTGCATTTACAAAGCACCCGTCTATTTTAGATTGGATTATAGCTAAGTTGTCTATGGATCAGCATGGTCTTCAGTTTTATTGAGATTAGATCCTATTCACCATCATGCTCTGCAGTTTTCTTCCGGAGCCTTCAGAACATCTCCAATCTACGGCCAGTAATATATTGACTTTTACAAACCCTCACTTAAATTAGGACATTAAAAGTTGTATCTCGAATATTATTTCAATATCATATCGCAATCTAATAATCATTGCAAGATTCTTCTGCTTGATGATTTATGTGACCCCTTATCTGAAGCATAGCAATGTTGTGTACCTATTTTAAGGGTTCACTCACTCATAGAAAAATAGGGCATGAGTAGTATGGAGTAAAATATTTTATTTTAAAATTATATCTAGGGAGAATGCACAAAATAAAACTTCTAAATGTTTTCCAGCATCTTGACAAAAGAAAACAAAATCATATATGAAGAAAATTTTCTTGAGCACAGAGAAATATTTAGCAGTTACATTCTCATATAAATGAATACGTCAAAAGCTGTCAATTACGTCGGAGCAGCATTTGTGATTGAAGACATTGCAGAGGTTAGATATTTGCATGAGGCTTGCTCTGTATTCTTTTCAGAGTTAACTTCTGTTTATTGTACTCACTGATGGCAGTAAAAAGCAGTTGAAATTGTAAGAAAAATTTCATTTAAGTTAAATCTTTAGTTCATGAGTGTTAAAAACTTGATTAATGTAATAAATTTAGAAAAACTTCTTATAGCTCTTCATGTTAAAATTAACCCTTTGAACAGCACTGCTTTTTTAAATCTTCTCAGGAAGACCTGAATTTAAATGGCATTTATTAGTTAAATTTGTACAATTTGCATATATTTGTCTGTTTTTCTAAACTTCCATTCTTTAAGGTATTTAATTCATTTAAAGGAAGTAAGAGAGGAAAATATTTTAAATTATGAGCTGATGTATACCTTTTGACATAAAATTTCATGATTTGATAAAGCAGTCATGCCACTTAGGGTTAATTGTTTAATTGCACTATATGCTTCCTCCTTATTTTGAAGAAAACAGCCTGAAGTTGCTCAATTACATATGTAGAAGTTTTGGATTTGCTGGTAATTAAAGTGATTTAATTACTGTTTTTGCATCATCTTTTCTTTTTTCATACATTTTATTCTTGTCAAGTTTACTTTAGAATTATAACTGCTATTTTTCAAACTTAGAAATGAAATAATCTCTGCAATTTCTGTACCTGGAAATTTGTGTTGAAAATTTTTGTAGAAAAAGTGCAGATATATTATGCAAATATGTTTATCATTTTAATTAGTTTTTATTTGATTTAATTTTTAATTAATGCTGTAACTTAGTGCTTTAAAGAATTCCATTTTATGGTATAGTAAGTAAGTTGCTAAAGTTCTGTTGTTTGCAAATACTTCTTATCAAAATTTTCATAAGAAATTTTTAAGTACTTGGTAAAATGGATGATATAATTGAAAGATATTAGTATGGAAACTTATTTTTGTTTGTATTAAATCATTGGAATAATAATAAAAAAAATTACTTTAAATTGTGTGTAAATTTAAATAGGTAAAATAGAATGGAATTTATATATTAAAATAATTTAATCTAGTTCACGTAATATACTCATTATTTGGGCAATGTTCAACATACTTTAATATACATGGTCATGTAATTTTTATAATTTTGATATTTCTTGAAATTAACTTTTACTAAATATATATTGAAAACAATAAGAATACCTTTATCATATTTTAGGGGCCATGTTTGCTTAATTGTCAATGTGGCGTCTAAATGAGGTTTAACCTCGCAGAATTATTCCCAGCTGCAAGCACTTTATGAGAAGTATGCTGTATCTAAGGGCTTGCGAATTCTGGGATTTCCATGCAACCAATTTGGAGGACAGGTATTTAATCTTGCATCAAACTTTAAATTATATATTTTAAATATAGAATATAATTTTGTATTTACTTTTAACCCGGGGCACGCATGCTCTTTTAAGTTACACGAGTACGCACCCTGTGTCCAAAAGACCCAGCTCGTGTTTTTTGAAGAAAAAAACTGTTACTCTTCAGGTAAAGCGTTACATTTATACTAAAATATTATGATCAAACTTTAAAAATATGCAAATTATGCAAATTAAAATTTTAATTTCTATAATATTTTTTATGATAAAGGAATAGAAAAACTTATTATATTAATAAAGAATTTATTAGGAATTTATTATATTATTATTCATTCTATTCAGAAATTATTATTCAGGTTTATTAGGAATATACTGCCTGAAAGAACATCTTCCTCGGAAAGCTTCAAGTTTTTCATCAATTGTTATGAGCTCACCGACAGTGTAATATTTCTGGCAGTTATTCACAAACTCTTCAAAAACACTCTCTTATAGGTGCAAGTTTATCTGATTCTTTCTTGATGACATGAATTCCTATGTCATCATAACACAAACATCTTAATAAAAAAAGAAAATGTTTGTAGGACATAGTTTTGTAGAAAATTTCCAAGCCGGTTCCATATGTTACCCATAGATCCCGCACATTTACATGAGATGACTTATGTCAAAAAAATATGACCTATAAAAGCACAAATTTCAATTAAAGTTGTGTGAAGAGCTCTCTCTCTTTAAAAGCTGTCAGGAGTAGATGCAATATAAATATTTGTATGCCTGACGACTTTCAGCAACATTTGTTCACTTAGTAAAAGTTCCCACAATTCATTTGGAGTCTGCACATATTTTGCCTTTACCGATGTTTCCAGGCAATTTAGTAACAATATGATGAGTTCTAACATCAGCTTTAAGTTTTTCTTTTGAACATTTTTATTTATTTATTTTTTGTTTTTTCCAATAAAGCAATAAATGTCATTCTCATTTTTTTTTTTCAGAATGCATCTCGATTTCTGAATAAATATTTTGAGAACTAAGAAATTCATTATAACTTTCCTTATCAGTTTCTTCAATGGAGTCTTTAACAGTTCATACATCTAATAATTTTTGCAAGCGTAACATTTCTTCCTTATAGGATAAATTACTTGACATATTTGCAGCTTAATGTGCTACCACAAATGAACTATGTTACAAAATGAGAATAGGCAGAATCTGAAAGACCCGATCCTGTCAAAACAAAACTTCAAATAAAATTTCCGGCAATAAACTTCAGAAATATAAAGACGATGGCCTTGGAAGAGACTACACTGAACCACAACTGCTTGGGAAAAATAGGGATGTTTTTAGAAACGTGTCTTTAACTGCTGTGAGACCGCGCAACATTTTTCATTAAATGCTTCCACCCCTTAGAATAATTAATGGGTATTGCTATTCTTAGGACCTTCCTAAACCAGTTGTCCAAGGTCACATACCAAGTTGCATTTGGCTAGTTCTATTTCTTCTTTTATTTTAAAAATATTTTCCCTCTCAGCGATCTGTGGGACCGATCACAGTGGATACTATTCAAATTTCGGCCGATAAAGTTCACTTTTCATTGTTGTTACATATTTCTCTTTTTTATAAATATTCTTGAAATGTCTTCAAATGCATGCAGGAAACGTTCTATATATCTTACCCAAGACCAAATTAAATTAATAGTTCGAAGTTGGTCTAATTTAGAGTTCTCTGATGAAAGGTCCCATCATGAAATTATTGAAAGCGACCATGACACAAATTCAGAAATATCTGCCGATGAAAATGAAACTCCATGTTCTCCTTCTACAAGAGATTTTTTTATTGGAAAAAATGAATTCAAATGGTCTATTCAAGAGCCCAACAAGGGTGTTTGAACTCATAGTCAAAATATTATTCTTCGTTCAATCTATTCAACTGCTAGTTGAACCCGACGTTGGCCTATGACAATATTCTTGAGAAACTTGAATATCTGTGCAATAAATGCATTCCTATTATTTCAACCTTATCCCATTGGCTCCGAAAATGAAACGAAAAGATTTCATTAGCAATTCAGTTGGTGCAGTCTCATGTAAAACGGAGGATAACTTCATCATTTTTACCTAAAGAACTCAAACTTACAATAAGAAGAGTTTTTTTGGAATAAATGATGATGAAGGAAACATTGCGGTCGAAGACTATAAATTAAGTAATAAAAGAACGTGCTATATTTGTCCACCAAGCAAAAAAAAAAAAAAAAAAAAAAAGGAAAACAGCTTACAAATGTATAGCATGCAAAGAACCAGTATGTCTACAATGCAGTAGAGAAGTATGTATAAAATGCAGCTAGAATTATAATTTTAAAAATAAAAATTAATTTTCTATATTCTTATTAAAGCATTCTTATCGCAAATTTTAATGTAAAATAAAAAAGTTAAATTTTAAAATTTACTTTTTCCGTCCAGATACGTAAGCGAAGGAATTATTATCATAGTATTTATTTTATTTTAATGAACTGATTTAAGTATAAAAATTGCTTTATATCTTTATGAAAATGTTAAATATATGAAATTAAATAACATTTATTCAAATAAGAAAAATTAAACCATATCTTTTGTTTTAGCAGAAGTGGTCTGAGAGACCGCTCACAGTAGTTATGCGACAATAATCACAGTAGTTACAGGTTAATCGGGTGGGTCCATTGGACCCAGCACACACGCTTGCGGTTAATAACTTTTATTGGTGAATATTTTATTAAATAGTCTCTTCAGTAAGATTAAGAAATTAAAATATGCTCTGTATCTTGTATGTTAATAAAATGATATATCTTTTCTTGATCCATATAAAATGATGTATCTTTTCTTGATCCATATAATTAAAGTGTCAATACAATATACATACAATAAAGTTAAAAAGTGTCATTTTGTAATATGTTAGTAAATACATAAAACAGATATAAAAAAAGTATTCTGCATTTTTCAATTATGGTAATACTGCATTTGTTCTAAATTATTTTATTTATTATTATTTTTGACTTTCATTAAGTAAGATTTACAGTACTTGCTTATTAGCACAATCACCGTAGTGTGGTTTGGTGGATTTTTACAAAATGAATGATGACACAATTTCAAAAAAAAAAAAAAAAAAAAAAAAAAAAAAAGAAGGCATTGCATGCATCTAGAAGAGCACTCAGTAAACCTGCTCACAAATGGGTTTCAGCTTCTTCTTCCTAGCAGGAATGTTAGCAAAATCGTATTTAGAAGATTCAAACCAGCTGTTTCCTTTTAGCAATTTTGTAGCAGAATACTGTATTCTCGAAAAACTTTTATCAGTTTCTTCCACAGCTGCAAATTCCAGAAGCACAGATTTTAAAACTGAGTTTAAGATCACAAATAAAAAGTTCTAATTAGTCTAAAAATCATTTTAACTTAAAATAAGGAGGGGTTGGGAACCTGCATACGGAAATGGTGATGTTGCTTGTTAAAACTGGGATGCTGGAATTGGTGCATTTTGAACATCTGGTGATACTTATTATAGTTGTTGCATTTATGCACAAGTACCAAATTACATGTTAGGAACTAAAATTTAACTATGTGACACATATTTCAATACATAAATAATTCTTTTTTTTTTCTTTTCAAAGAAGTGAATTATTAGTTAAGATTGTGATAGATAACAGTTGTTAAAATGTGTCATTTTGTAATATGTTAGTAAATACATAAAACAGATGCAAAAAATTATTCTGCATTTTTTTTAAAATGTGGATATTTTTTAATTTAGGAGCCAGGTACTGAAGCAGAAATTAAAGAATTTGTGAAGAAATACAATGTTCAGTTTGATATGTTCAGTAAAATCAATGTTAATGGTGATAATACTCATCCTCTTTGGTCCTACTTAAAAAGTAAACAAGGTGGAACTTTTGGCAAGTGAGTATGAATATTTAACCTAAAACACAGTAAAATCACAACTAATCAGCATATATTGAATTGGAATATTTTTATTCTATCTTTTGATTATCCAACCTAAAGAGCAATTAGTCGCCTCCCCAAAACTTCTGCCAGAATGTTATGCATAAATTTGGCATAATCTCAGCCATGGTTGATGAGATTTTGTAATCAAATAAGAATGTTTTACATTAATATGTTTAAGGCCTATTTCTAAATAAATAAATAAAAATAAAATGTCTTTGGAAATCATTAATGCTTTATATTTTGACAGTGAATAGCTACATGTGTTTATGGATGGCTGTAAGTTGGCTGACAGTATTCATGCAGGCACTTGTGTCTTTTGCTAGCTTTTTTCATTTTACAATCCTGTTGGAAGGAATAACACTGCTTTTAATGCTGCAGATTATGTCCATATGCATGGCCTTACTTCAACTCCAATGTCACATTGGACATTTTTCAAAGGTTTTTCATACTTTTTGATTCTGAAGCTGCCACTTTGTCTTTTGAATCACCAGTGTATATTGTATGTTTTAAAATGCCAGCAGTTACTGTACAGGATCTGTCTTCTTTTCCACATAAACTAAACAATGAACCTGGTGAGTTCTTGCACAGGCGTGAAGTAAATACCAACACAGAAGAGTGAAAATAACCCTTTATTAATTCCAACTATTAACTGAAAGGCACATACTTCATGCTTTGTAATAACACTAACTACTTGTGGTGGAACTTGAATATTATTACACAATCAAATTCAAGTCTAAATAGAATGGTGCTGGATTAGCACGTTAAAGTATGGCTAACTTAGGTTGGCTTAAAAAAAACCTAACGGGCATGACAATTATCCGAAGTGGCCAAGGGGTGTACTAGTGTAACAGCAATGTCAGGAACGAAATGTAAGCTGGCTAGCGAAAACCATGCTCTGCCTAAACTCAGGGATTCACCCGTTTAAATACTCTCTTAACTTTAAATTTACATCCTCCAAGAAAATGAAAGGTTCAGGAAAGGTATCAAACTTAAAATAATTTGTTATGCAAAATAAGGGAAACCCTACAGCTAAACAATTTAGCTCAATGGATACCACCGCACTGTGGCCTTCATGGAAATGAAAAAGGCAGATTTCCTGGCAAAGAAAGGGGTCAGTTTTTTCCAAACAACTCACAACCACATCCCTTTTTATACTGCCAAAAGAGTAATAAAAAAATTGTTACAGAGATGTTATTTGAAAAGACAGTTTCTTACAGGAACAGTCGTAAACAATGGATTAACAGAATTTTTGACATTCTTTTATGGCCTAGAAAGAAAACTATTGCTATCTTTTGTCTTGATTCTGGCGGTGATTGTCTTTAAAACATCTGCAATGAATGAATGTTGTCACAATTCCAGTTTGTAAACTGTCCAACTGTGAAGAAATGGATGCCTCGCATCTGAGTCATTGCCCTGCATTTAATACTGGATCCTTCTGGGAGAGATATTGGGAGGAGAGACGCAAAAGAGGTTTAGGGTCATACTGTGGATTGTTTTTAGTTTTGTTGTTCTCTTACCTATTTCCTTGCTGTATCTACTGTTGTCTTTGTAATCTACCATTTGAAATAAATAAATATTGGAAAAAATTAAGGCTTCCTGATTTTATGTCTATGATGTATTTTTTTAAAATTTTACATAATGAGAAGCTGATAACAAATAAGAGGATTGTTTTTATAATTTTTTAACTAGATTCCCCCCTCCATTTATTGTATTTTTTAGTGTGAATTGGCAATTTTTGTATGTTAGCTTTCTGTAATTTTCATATGTTAGGCGTTTTCCAAGCTTTTGTAGTTGAGATTTTACTGTATATGTAAAGGGTTAATGAAATTTTTCATGTTTTCAGCTTTATAAAATGGAACTTTTCAAAGTTTTTGATTGATAAGAATGGACAGCCTGTTAAACGTTACAGTCCTCAAACAGCACCAAATGTAAGTACTTGTAATTCTTGTTAGGATATTTTTATAGTTTCCATGTTTGTGTGTAAATAAATGTTATTTATTTACAATTTGCTAAGTCAGGATAAAAGTGCAATGGTTATGTTCTATATTGATGGGAAGTATTTATAAAAATATTTTTAATACTTTTCAGATAGCCATGTGACACACTTATTTCTTTCCGTATGCCATTAGCTCAGTCAGACAAAACAGAGCAATAGCTAACAGCAACAAGAAAGCTATCTGTAATTTCCTGGGGGGGGGGAACCATTGAGTTAGAACTCATATTGTTGGGATGTGGAAGTCGTTCTGAAAATCTTATTGATTGTTAACCTCCTTTAAGATTTTTCAGACCTGAAAATACTATATTGGATATCTTATATTCCTATATTGGCCACATTGGTATTAGCAGCAATAACTGGCAGACATAGCTGGCCTTACTATTGATGTATACTCTGTGCTTAATATCCCTTATGCAGATATCATAAATTCCTAAATAACAATGCTGCAGCACTTGTATTTACAAATAAGTAACAAGCTATGTCATGGGAAGCATGAAGGCGAGTATTGGATTATAAACAGAACTCTCAAAGAACTTTTGACACACTTGTGGATTAGTCACTTTAAAGATTACGTGTCAGCATCTGCTAAAAAAGTGATGTTCCAATCTGTGCAAACTGTAATGCCCAGTTGTCTGTGGTTTGTATTTTGATTGTCCAAATTAAAAATTTTTTAGGTTGAAACATTTTGATTCTTTCAAAATTTATATTTATATTAAAATTAAATTTATATTTAAATTAAATTAAATTAAATTAAATTAAAATTTGTATTTAAATTAGTCCTTGCTTTTTAAAAGATAAGGCCTTCACTATAAACTGTAAAACATTAAAGGTTGTGTTTGTATATTTTTTACATTTTAATGTTTTTAAAGTTTTTAACTGAAATAGGTTGCTTTCAGTGCGATGTAAAACATTACTAGGTTATTTGAGTTTCCTCGCTGTTTTTTCTTTTAGGCTTTATGGATTTTTAGAATATGTTTTTAATGTGTTTTTTTTTTTTATATTTATAGCATATAGTTCTTGTAACATTTTATGTACTCTTAACTAAATAACTTCATCCTGACCATGCAGGTTTTGCACCATATACACCACCGCCATAAATGAGGCTGCATAGCTATTTCAGCTTGAAGTCTAATTTAAATTTCATTTGTCTCTTTCTCTCTCTTTTTTTGTTTGTTTGTTGTTAGGTTGTCATTTTTAAAGGGGGGGGAAACTTGAACCTTTATAATTAATATCAGCTTCCTCTTGTGCCCTATACGTAGCGTATTCGGAAAAACTAAGTACCGTTTCATTGTAGCGCTGTCGCAGCGCAGTGGTAGGCGTCCTGCGCATGCGCACTAGTCTTTCTTGTTCACTGACTTTCAGTTGTCGCCATTTTGGTTGCTCTATGTTGTGTTTTCAGTTTGCTGTGCACATTCAAAAGGTTTAAGACAATTAGTTCTCCCACTGACTGTTAGACTCGTGCAGTGATTAAATTTTTGAACGCGGATGTTAACGCGAATTTACTAAGGAAGAATTCGGGAATCGCATAATTATGATGTGGAAAGTGGTAAAAGTTAATCGGGTTCTACGGTCCTTAAAAGTCCTTAATTTTCAAAAAATTTTGGAAAAATAAACGGTCCTTAATTTTGCTCATTTGACATTTCTTATTCATTTCTAATGATTGCCATTCTAAGTGTGAATTACGATTTCTCATGAATATGGAATTAAAATTACACAGCTCTTAACTAATCTGTTGGCGGATTTGCATTGCAAAAAAAAAAAAAAAAAAACAATTAGCTACCCGAACGAAAGTATCGGTGTCTGATTGGCTATTCACGCAATCTTTCGAAACAGGTGTTATCCATAAATTTAGGCAGACTGTGACGAAAGCGTGAAGCTGGAAGTTCTTTAAGAGGCGAAAGTGATGATGAAGGTGCTCGAGAAAAAAAAAGGGAGGGGGGGAGATTCTGAAAATATTTGCCAAAACTAGAGCAATTCCAACCTGGAAGGCCACAACCCTTCCGACGCCAATAGGAACGAGATGCCTGGAAAGTGCATTTTCAATAAACTGTGGCTTCATCAAGCTGACTACAAAGACTGGATATTGATGGATGGCAATCCTTAAATGTGGTCTTTGTCTGAAACAAATTGAAATTTCTAGAATGGGAGAGTCAGCACTGAAAATTCACATTGAAAATTAAGTTTCGTTTTATCATTTCAATTTGTTTTTACACGGTTTTGCTTAGCTTAATTTCTGTGTTTGTTTCAATTAAGCCATAAATTAATTTTTTATCACCTTCTACGGAGTTTATTCTCTTTTGCACATACTATATGTATGGGATATCGGGATTATGAGTTTATTTCTGCAGAGGGTCTGTTATCGATTTCGCGGGAAATCTGTTGGCTCCATTTCGATTTTAGGTCGCCAAGGGCAAAATCGGTAACGCTAGCTGAGAAAAAGTGAAGTTCGGAAATACGTTTTGAAGCTTCAATAGACAATTAAGTATTTGGTTTAAACCTATGTTTTTGATAGTAATGCATAATTTTTGCTAATGGCGATACAATTATTAGTTGAAAATAAAATAACTAATTAAAATTTTTTAAATATTTTTAAAGCTGAAAACAACTAATTGAAACTAATTTTCCTGAATTAACTAGACGCAAAATTAACTTTCATGAATTACTAAAGTTATTGGGTAGAAGTTTAACTGAAAATATACATTCCGTATATATATATATATATATATATTTATACAGTGTACAAAGTCCGAGGTCTGGACTCGTCGGGACTTCGGCGATCCTAGATTTGAGATTTTTCCGGATATTAGATCATTTTAAATCTACTAAGATGGCACGTAGAAATTATAAAATTGAAAATATGAAATCGTGATTTATGAAATAATGAAGCATTTATGATTTAAAGGGTATCAAAATTTACCAAAGAAAAGAGCTTAATATTTATATGTTTACTTTAATAAACATTTCTTTCAATGTGAGTTGTTTGATTTGTTTTCTCTGCTAATACTTTAGACTAATACTATAGACATATAATTTCTTGTTCAGTTATTAAGTTCCATTGTTCAAGTCCTGTAATTGCTGTGTCGAGAATTCCGAATAACTTGTCAATCAAAATTTTTTCTCGTTCAGTAACCTCTCTGTTACTTTCTTCACTATCGGTAGCTGTATTTTCTGGATTTAGAACCATACTACAGATTCCGCCCTCCGTTAATTGATTGATGATTGGGCATTGTCATTGCAATGAAAAACTTCTGTTTAACTTCGCTAAATTCTGCCGCCTGGTGCGGCCATGCGAGCTCTGGAGCTGGTTCTGGCTTTATGTGAATAACAAATCAGTTATTCTTAATTCAAATAGCACTAAATATAATCGTTTGTCCTATGAGTATCATTAACAAAATCTATTTTTAGCATAAGGAAAGAAATTTCTGCTAAATCTCCCCTTGTCAACATTTTAGCGCATTAAATTTAAATCTGTAATCGTATAATACTCTGTTATTTGGCATCGCTGCATGATTCATCACTCAAGTTGTCATTCGTTGATAAACATGCGGTGATGAAAGCAAAATACAATAAATAATGATTCGCGATTTCGGCATCAAGGATATAAAATATTAGTTGGTGTAAAATTAACAAATGTTTCGGTTTGAGATTATGCCAAGCAGATACGCAGCTATGGAGTCAAGTTACTAATCACACAAATTTATGCTAAAATAATTATTTCTTCAATAATGAGATATTTTATTTAGCACCAAACTAAGATTAAGAATCGGATTTCTGGCATTTTTTTTTATGATGAGGAAAAAAAATCTAATGCGCAGCATATTGTTGGTGGTGGCTTTGAGGTCCAGATTTTAGATCATTCCAGATATTAGATGTCCGGATCTCGGACTTTATATATATATATATATATATATATATATACATCTTTCAGAATATAACTTACCAGTATGGATTCACTCTTTTAAAATAATTCTACTTTAATTAAACTTAGGAGATAATATAATCAATTAATCTATATTGTTTAGGAAATAAATTATATATATATAGTAAAAAATGTATATTTTCACTATTCAAGTATTCACTGTGACAAGTATTCTTATCTTGTCACATGAACAGGCCTCTGTGGAAAGGGGCTTCTCTGTAAATAAAGCAATTGAAATTGAAAATTTAAGTGACTCATCATACATTTTTCAACGCACAGTATTTGATTACATAAAATTTTCTGGAGGTGTTCTTAATATCGAAATTAATAAAGAAATGAGATCAGCAGCAGCTTCTGCAAGAAGTGGAGTTCGTTATTTAGAAGTTCAGTATTTAGAAGAACAAAAATCTTTAACTAAATCTGAAAATTCAAAGAGGAAAAGAAATATTATTGAAGAAGAAATTGATTATATGAAGCAGAAGAAAAACTTTCCTCAAAGGGACATTAAAGACATTAATGAAGAAGTAGATGCTTTAGCAGATAAAGCTGAGACCATCAGGAACATTGATTTGTTTATCAAAGCAAATGAACTTAGAAGAATAGTTAAAGAAAAGGAAATAGACATAAATAAATTAGAGTTAAAATAGGAAAAGATTTCAGATTTAAAAAAAGCACAAATGTTTTGTATCTTTTATTGTACAGTTTATTATTCTAGTATCTTTCAAAAAACCAAGGAAATAAATTGTATGTTTACAAATCAGTTATTTTAATCTGCAAAATATTCTTACATTGTGATTATAATAGTAGTTGACTATGTTTAAATAAATATCAAATAAGTTAAATAATAATCATGTAAATCTCTAAAATAGTGACTGTTATTAGTGTAAAATACACTTATACATGTTTTTCAAGAAATTATGTTCCTCATTTAATGTTATCTACTTCATAACTTGTAGGGAGTTAGTTTAATTTTCAAAATTGTTTTATGGTAAGTATTAAGTTGAATTTAATAATAGTGCATAATACACACTTCTGTTAGTTTTTTAAAGTGAAATTACAAGCATGAAGTCGGTTGTATGGATAATTGCTTTATTCTATTCATTTTTTTGTTTGCTGATAGGTCCTTAATTTTTTCTTTGATGGTCCTTAAAAGTCCTTAATTTTCATGTAGGAATGTAACCGTAGAGGCGACAAATGCCACGCCGGGGAGTTCCTTGTTACGAGATGGTAAGGAAGTGATGAGCAATTATAGAACAGACTTCAAATAAAACTCTTTCAGAGGATTCCAAATTTCAGACTGTTTGTTTGAATGGCGACCGCTTGAATTATCGCAGTGTTCCGATGGGTTCCAAAACTGCTCACTGATGTTCACAAAACAAAGCGACTTGGTAGTGCCCTGACATTTCTCACGCGGTAAAGTGATGAGGGAGAAAACTTTTTAAACCAAATTGTGGCAGCTGATGAAACTTGGGTGTGTCATTTCACACCAGAATCGAAACAACAATCGATGGAGTGGAGACACACTCATTCTCCGAAAAAACAAAAGTTCAAAGTGACAATGTCATCACAAAAAATCATGTGCACTGTCTTCTGGGATAGGAAAGGCGTTTTGCTTACTGAATTTCTTCCCAGAAGTGAAACCATCAATGCGGCACGATATTGTGAGACTAACAAAACTAAGGCGTGCTATTCAAAACAAATGAAGAGGAATGCTCAGTAAAGGAATTGTGTTGCTCCATGACAATGCGCGGCCCCATACTGCTGGTGTCGCTCAATTGTTAATTCGACAGTTTCATTGGGAGCAGTTCGATCACCCGCCGTACAGCCCGGACTTGGTGCCATCCGACTGTCACTTGTTCCTGTACATGAAGCGCGAGCTTGGTGGCAAGCGCTTTAGATCTGATGATGACACGAAAAATGCTGTAGAGTCGTGGTTATCGAAACTGGCAGGAAGTTTCTTTGAAGATGGTATACAAAAACTGGTCACACGCTATGACAAGTGTTTGATCATTGGCGGAAACTATGTTGAAAAATAGTTTAAGACATGTATTTTCGTGTAAAAATAAAATTGGATTCGAAAAAATTGTTTTACTATTTTTTTATTTTTTTTTTTCTCAAAACGGTACTTAGTTTCCGAATACGCCTCGTATTTGCCATTTCTGTAATTTATAATGGCAATACTACTTTTTGAGTTGGTATGTACAGCCAGAAAAGCGAAAAGATAGATCTGTTGGCAGCATATGGTGTTGATGATGTTTCTCAACTATTACAGAGGTGACACTAAGAATGTGTTATTTAAAACTTTAATTAGAAACAAAATGTATCTGATGATCCACTTTGCTAGAATTAAAGAAATGCTTTGGTAGTCTTATATTTCTCTATGTTCAAACGTAGTCATTTGTGTAGCAAATTTTTATGAAACATTTCTACTGAATTTATTTTAAATAATTTTCTTATATTGAATTACATTTTCTCAACAAACTTTCTTTCCTATCTCATTTGTTTTAGAGTAAAGAAAAATTGCTGCATTTTTTTCCATTCCACTGAAAAGCTTTTTTCTATTACTGTAAAGATGTTTTCTATTACTGTACAGTATGGATCTAATGTAGTATCTTGAATGATCCTTTCCAGACATGGAAACTAAAGCTGAAATTTTGTTTATTAGCCATTGGAGTAAGCAGTATAGAATTGAGTACCTGCCCCCTCTTTTTTATATATCTTATTTCTGCTATTTAATCATTTACGTTTTCAATATATTTATATATGTGCATGTATTTTTGAGAAATTTAGAAGCTATGTATATTGAAAATTATATGAAGAACGATAGAAAATGAAAATGTTTGTCCTTTTCTCTTTCATAGCCGTCTTGAAAATTATTGTGCATATTTTTCTTCTAAATTTTATATGTCCTTTTTTAACTGATATGAAATTTGGTTTGTTTTCTTTTTTAGGATATTGAACCCGACTTACTGAAGTATTTTGAAAAATAAAATGTATATAATAGCATCATATGCATTTCAATAATTAAATGGAGCTGATGAATATGTGAATGACAACTTTCCTACAAACCATTATTTGTGGCTGGGTCTAGTTTGATGTGCATATTTTTCTGCTTTTTTTTAATGTTATGAGCATATGATGTATTTTTCGTTATATTAATGTTTTCGATATAATTGTTTCAGTTGTAACAAATCGCTATAGATTTTGCATTGTGCAGCTCTGTATAAGTACTTTTACACTTATTATAATAAAGATTTTTCCGATTTTTAACTGCTTGCTTATTTCATGATGAAAGGTTTATTTATGCTACTGAAGTATTTTGAAGAATAAAATGTATATAATAGCATCATATACATCTCAATAATTAAATGAAGCTGATGAATATATGAATGACAACTTTCCTATAAACCATTATTTGTGGCTGGGTATAGTTTGATGTACATATTTTTCTGCTTTTTTTTAATGTTATGAGCATATGATGTAGTATTTTTTTTATATTAATGTTTGTGATATAATTGTTTCAGTTGTAACAAATCACAATAGATTTTGCATTGTGCAGCTCTGTACAAGTACTTTGTTTACACTTATTATAATAAAGATTATTCTGATTTTTAACTGTTTGCTTATTTCACGATGAAAGTTTATTTACGTTGATTAAATCAAATTTTAGCATTTTTGCAATATTCTAACCGCTTGTGTTACAATTTATTCTGTTATTTCATTAAGAACAATATTTCTGTTGATTTTTATGTCCTTTATTTTTTCCTAGCCTGTTCTTAAGAATACTTATAATAAAAATAATGAAGCAAATACTTTTGAAGTAAGTATTTAAATGCAGGGGGAGGTGAAAGATAGTGTAACTTAAGCTGTCTTTGTGGAATCTCATTTTTGGAATTTCTGATAAAATTCATATTTTTGCTATATATTAGTACTCTTCAATTATGTTTAAAGAAGTATTTCTTCTTCTCCCCCATTAAGTATAGAAAATAATTTTGGATATATTATTATTTTATTTATTTATTATTTTTTTACATTTGTTCCTGATTATATATACTAGTTGGATGATTTCTGAAAATCTATATTATGTTTAACATAATTTTTAAAGTATTATTTCTTACATATGGATACAGTTTTGATTTTGCTGCTGTCATTTAAATTACCCATCCATGTTTAAATGAAATATCTGGATACAATTTTGATTCTACTGCTACCACTTAAATTAGCCATCCATATTTAAATAGCATTAAGAACTAATTCCTTTGAAATTACATTCCCATACCTATTATTGTTATTTAAAAGCATTATTAATAGCTTATTTTATTCTTATTGTGAACTGCTTATGTTCCTAAAGTTTAATTGTGATAAGTTTAAAAAAACATTCCAATTAGTGTGACAAAGTTCTTAGTTTACTTATATAGTGGTATTTTTATTAGTATATTTAAAATGGTAAAAATTGCGTAGAATTAATATGAATAGTAGTCTTTCTGTGTTGATAAAAATGAGCAGGACAGAAAAGCTTATCAGCAAGGAGGCTTAAACCAGTAACATAGCTTGGTTTACTCTTTACCACTCCATTTACTTTTCTTCCATGTTATGCATTTGATTTTAAATACCTCCTAGATAAATGCATAGTACTTTTCCCATGGTAGTTTTTGAATTCAGTTTTACTTTAATTACTTTGAAGCCTAATTGTGAAATTTCATAATAAAGTTTTATTTATTTATTCATTCAAAATAGACATCTTTCCAGAGCCTGGATTTCTTTCACACCATTCTATAATAAAATTGGTTTCATAATGAATAAATATAAATGTGTTATAAAAATTGTTTTCCGTTTTATTATAAAAGCTGCTTGCCGACTTTTACATTTAAAAGCATGGGCATTTATGGAATTGCCAAAGTAAACTAACTTGTCACATTAATTTCTCTTATAAAAGCACATTTGCTGAAAATTTTGAACATTTAGATTCAAATGTATCTTTTATTTAAAAGAAAAAAATCTGATCTGTACACCACATGACTTCCTTGTACGGAATATTAAATTATACGCATTTTTTCTTGCATTTTATTTAAATTTATTAGATTGAATTAACCTACTTCGCCGACACGCATAAACCACAATAGAATAAATGCATTCTGTAAAATTCACTTTGTTTACCATAGCGATACCCTGGCACTAGGTTTACTTAACAGTATTATATTTCGTTCATATTATAACTCTGATTGCACAAAATTTATATCGTTTAAAAAATTATCTAATCGTTGCCACGTGTTCTATTCAAATACTATAATAAAGCTAGAATGATGTATAAAAGAAATTAAGCAAACAAAACAAAAAAGAAACAGTTTTTCACAGACGATTTGGTATTTCTCATTCAATTAATTCAGTTCTCACTTCGCAAAAGGCAAAAGTACATAAAAACTCAAAATATCTGTATTAAAAATTACGAAATAAATCTTAAACACTTATTTCCTCGAAAAAATTCCAGAAAGGATTGAGCATGATTTAATTCACAATAATAAATGAAGGCGTTATCTTTCTCTAGATTGGCAACAAATCTACTATTCTGCTGTTCTATATACAAAATTTCAACATTCTGAGGCTACTCATTTTTGAGTTAATGCGAGATATGTACATACGTTCGTACAGACGCCACAAAAAAACTCTCTTCAGAATTCATTTTAAAGCAATTTTATTTTTTTTGGAGGAAAAGAGTCTTTTATTCTGTCCTTACATACAAATATCACGCAAATATCGTTAAATTGCTTTCGAAAGCGGTCAAAATGGATATTTTCGTTGAAATATGCTGCCTGAAACTTTTCGCGATTACAATACTTCCTTTTTACTTCGTACAAGGAAGTAAAAAGCAACAGTAGCTTTCCTAAACTAATAAAATTTAAAAAGTGATTGTATGAACATAAAAAAAAAAAAAAAAAAATACAGCCCCTTTTTTAGCAATCCGTTTTTGAATAACAAATTTTTGTGGTCTTGTACCCTTTCAACAAGTTTTATTTCTTCTTTATTATGCTATAGCATCTAGCCATACAACACTTTTACTTTAAAGTTAGCATCTAGCCATACAACACTTTTACTTTAAAGTTAGCATCTAGCCATACAAAACTTTTACTTTAAAGTTTAATCTGCAAGATGCATTTTTAAACACAGAAAACAGCAGATAAGATGTAATTCATTTTCTATTCAAATGAATCTAGTATTTATACATTACAGATATTTGTGGAAACAAACTGATTTTTGACATGTCCAGTGCTTTATGATCTCCATCTCAAACTTCAGTTATTATACATCCATAGTATATCTCAATATCTTTAATATATTTTACAATATCTAGTGTATAAAATGAATTGTTGCAGAATATTTTCCAGGGGATAAATATAGTATGTAATGTGAAATGTTATTTTGACATTTCATTGTCTTTTGATTTGCATGACTTATTTATTGTAAGCAAATGGTAAGTGAATATTGTGTAGTAGGAATGTTTCCGCTCTTTTTTTTTTTTTCTTCTTTCTTTCTTAATATAAAAAGTTAGAAATTATAAATTTATTTTCATCAAATATTATTTGTGACATGATGTTCGAGTTGCAAAAGGGGGAGGTGATGTCCATTATGACTTCACAAAAAGTTTTGTCACTTGTTTTGGAGATTTTTAAAACACCTTAGATCCCATTTCTTTCTCACATCTTCTGTGTAAAATATCATATTCCACTTAATGAAACTATAACTTGCTGCATGTTATTTGTTTCAACTTCATTTTATTTCATTATGGCAAAGCACACTTCTTCTGTGTGCCCAAGCAGCGGGTTGCCTTTGTGGAAGACTTTCTAAGGAAAATTGGCTCCCATTTCTTTCTCACATCTTCTGTGTAAAATATCATATTCCACTTAATGAAACTATAACTTGCTGCATGTTATTTACTTCAACTTCATTTTATTTCATTATGGCAAAGCACACTTCTTCTGGGTGCCCAAGCAGAGGGTTGCCTTTGTGGAAGACTTTCTAAGGAAAATTGGCTTGTATACATGTTACACATGGGGAAAACACCCATGCAGCCAACTCATTCACCTGGGAACTGAACCCAAGTCGAAACTACCAGTATTCAGCAAAATTACTACTTGGCTGCTGGTAAGCCATTTTTTACTTAGATTGTAGTACAGTACAAAGTCTTTAATCCGGACGTCTATAATCCGGACCTCAAAGCTACAAACTTTCTGCGCATGCACAGAAAATCATTAATACGCACGCGTATAATACCTTTATGCATGCGCGTTTAATGTATAACGAACGGTATAAGCTAGGCTAAAATGATCTAATTATCTATTTCAGTTAATGTTGCAGATTGCGCTGTTCCTTAATCTTCTAATTGGATCTGGCTTATTATTTTTTGCAGACTGTTAGAGCAATTTTATAAAAAGTAAGTTTGAACTTTCGATTATGTCAAAAAGAGTTTCCGATTCTGGAGCTGCGAAAGATTCTGCAAAGCGAAAGCATGTGTCGATGTCCATCAAACAAAAAGTCGAATTGCTGCAAAAAATGGATAAAGGCATATCCGTCTCAAAATTATGCGAGGAGTATGACATTGGAAAGGCAAAAGTATATGACATACTGCTTCCGATAGTGAAGAAAGTGACAGAGAGGTTATTGAAAACGAAAAAATTTTGATTGACAAGTCAGTCGGTGTTCTTGACACAGCAATTACAGGACTTGAACAGTGGAACTTTGTAACTGAACAAGAAATTATGTCTGTTTATAGAATTAAAGAGAAAGTATTAGCACAAAAAATGAAGCAACTTAACTTACATTGAAAGAAATTAATAAAGTAAACAAATAAATATTAAGCTTTTTTTTTGTAAATTTTGATACCCTGTAGATCATAATTGCTCTTTATTTCATAAAGTGCGGTTTCATATTTTTAATTTTATAATTTCTTACCAGATTTAAATTGATGATCTATAATCCGGTAAAACCCCTAATCCGGAATCGCCAAAGTCCCGCTGAGTCCGGATTAAAGACTTTGTACTGTAACAGTAATTCTGTTGCCCATAATGTTTCACCTTTCAATGATGACATTTAGATGTAAATCTATTCTTACTCAAAGAAATTAATACTGTATTGTTTAAGAGATGACGATTTAGACTCTTCCGAACTTTCGAAGACTATAAAATTTCAATTTTTTGTGGGAAAAATGTCTAACTGAAAAATCTTTGGTAGATGAATAATATTAAAATAGTAATAATTTAACTTTAGGTAAGGGGAAAAAGTGCTTTAAGTATCTTCAGAAACTGTTGTCAATTTATAAACTGAAGACAAAAAATTTAGAGAATATTTCAAAAGTATATTCAAAGCCTTTACTTATTTTTGTAGTTGAATGCTTTAAATTTTCCAACAATGAGCTGTGTGAAAATTACCAAATAAATACAAATTTTTAGGGGGGGGAATGCTGTCGAAATGAGCATTAGATGCCAGACTAAGGTATTGCAATGCAGCTTTATACATTGGTGTTAAAAATTAGAATTTGCAAATTTTTGATGATTTTTCAAAAAAAGGTATAAGTTGTTCTTATAAACAAGAACTGCTAATCTTTAGGTAAAAATACACAA